CCCCCCCCCCCCCCCCCCCCCCCCCCCCCCCCCTGTAGACGGTAGTGGTTCACCGCCCCAACATCTACTCCAGATTCTGTGAGGCGTCCGCTTAGGCCCCACATGGCCCCACGCGGGAGTACAAGGACTCATGCACATGTGCCCAAGGTGTGCCTGCGGCGGGCGCCGCCACCCACTACCCCACCTACCCCACCTACCCGCACACACCTTCTGGCGTTGAAACAGTTGGCGTAGAACATTACATGTGCCACGACGCGTCGCCAGTTATAGCTTTACATTGCAAAGTAGACGGGATGGCAATGATTAGCGTCGCGGCATCAACAGCCCGCGCCCGAGTGGGCGGCGGGCGCCATGCTGTGGCCTGCACCACTATCAGTGAGATGGCGCCACGAGCCGCGTGATGGTGTGATGCGGCTCGACTCACCGGGGTATTGAGAGTGCACAACTGTGCCACGAAAAGACTCGGGCACGGGCGGCACGTCTGGACGTCCTCTTCCAATGAAGAGAGGTGCAACAGGGCGACGTTGAGTGTGGCAACGCCCGCTGTCTCGTCTGCGCCACATACCGCCGCTTCAGTGGAGAGGAGCCAGACAGAAGTGATCTGAAACGTGCGAAAGAGTTCAATTGCACAAAATCGCCTTTTGCCGCTACGGCAGCCGAGCGGACACACGGCCAGCGAATGCTTGATTGTAATGCATGATGATACACTTGATTCGTAGCCGCTGCTGCGTAGCCACTGTAACCCACGACACGCACCTCTACTGTACACTTTGAACTGCCGGCTGCCGACCGACCTCAACTGCGATATCACGCGCGCTCTCTGCCCTCCTTCTCATCCCTGGCGCCCATGTCGTCCCACCCCTCATACTCCTCGTCCACGTGAAAGCCTGCGTGGCGGTAGTACTCTTCGTCTTCGGTTGCTCCCCACGCCGCGCCGAGCGGGTTGATACCTGAGCGTTCCTGCCAGTGTTCGTGCTCCGGGCATAGCGCATCGTACGCTGGTGGATAGCCCTGACCGAACTGCATGTCGCTCCACATGTTGCCAAATCGCGCCTGGTCTGCTATCAGCGTGGCCAACAATAATCACCCACGTTGGCCATCAACCCATCGGTGGAGCAAGCCGCATTTGCCCTCTGTCGGGTCCAGTTGCTCGTCCGGCCCATCGTCCTCCGCATTACCGAGAAAGCGGTGCCGGAGCGCCTGCGCGGCTGTAATGCGCCGTGTGCTGTCCACATGCAGCAGCTTAGCGCAGAGGTCGAGCGCGCAGTCAACCGCGAGTATGTGCTCCAACGCCTCCTCCGGAGTCGGATCAGGTTGGTGTGGCGTGTACAGGTGTGGATTGAGACGAAGAATGAGGGACGCAAGCGATTCTGGCGGCTCGTCCAGCGTCGGGACGTTGGATATGAACGTGCGATCTGAGGTAAGCGCAGGGCTGAGGGTCGGGGCCAAGTCGCGACCCGGGCTCACTGTGTAGCATAGCGCAGCGCTGCATCGAGTTGCGCCCGAACAGCGCCGCGATTTCCATGAGCGCCTCGACATCGTCGCTCGAGTTGAACACGGGGAACTTGTGGGAGAGAATGGAGAGGAGAATGACGCCGGCCGACCACACGTCGATCGCGACGGTTTGGTCTGGGCATTTGAACAAGACCTCCGGGGCACGGAACCCACGGGTACCGGCTCGATTCGTTTTAACCGCCGGCCTAGCATCCTCTTGCCGGAACCCGACCTTGCCCTCGCCCGCTCTGGAGCGCTTGCGCGCGTCGTACACAGCCTGCTCGACAGTCAGCGTGTCGTCCGTCCGGCACCGTTGGCCGTGGAGGTGTGAACGTGTTGCTGGCTCGTGCTGACACGTCGCTTCTCTTGGAGATTGATATCGCTCCGCGAGACCAAAGTCGACGAGCACCCCGTGGCCGCTTTCATAGTCGAACAGAAAGTTTGCCGGCTTCACGTCGCGGTGAATGATCCCTCGCGCATGGATATCTTTGAGCGCGCGCAGTAAGCACGTCATGTATGCGCGAATCTTTGGTGGGTCCATGAGGCGGTAGAAGTAGCGGAAGTCGTCACAGGCGTGGAAGGGAAGGACGATGATAACCTGGTCGTCATCTCGAAACGCCGTTACCAGCGGCGAGACATTTCGGCATCCACGCAAGTTCTCCAAGATCGACAGCTCGTTCTCCACACGTTCTGGCGAGCTCGTCACGAGAATCTTCTTGAGTGCGACTTGGTGCCCCGTCTCCACGCAAAGATTGCCCACGGGACTTTTGGTTTCCTCGGGCAACCAGTATACGTTGTTGTGCAGATTGTGCAGGCTGTCGTAGGCGAGGTAGACGGACGAGAAGGTGCCTTCACCTAGGCGGTCCACGACACGATAGCGGTAGAGCCCAAGAGAGGGGTTGTATAGACCTTTAACGGTATAGAGGTCTTGAATGTCGCGCTTGACGGCGGTCCTCTCGAGCCATGGACGATGGTCCATTTGGTATTCCTCCGAGTCGCCAGAGTGATAGCTTTCCGGGTCGTCTTCGTACTCTCCATCGCTCGATGCTACCGCCATTTCTGGTGACGTCTCCTCGTCTGATCCACGCTGTGACCTCAGCGACGATGGGCCCACCTCAATCGGATTGTCCCCTTCCTCGGCACTCTCGAGCCACATATTCATGTCGACGTCGTCTTCTGGAGGTTCCTGAACCGTGTCCTCCTCCTCCTCGAACGCGTCTGCCGTTACCCGGTTTGAGGGCTCCATTCCTGCCGGCCCCGCTAGCCTGCCCGTGTCTTGAGATAATGTCGAAAAGGGGCTGGCGGCTCTGCTGTCCAGTTTGGTGCTGGGGGCAGAGGGTGCTGTGACTGTGTTGTGAGCGGATGAGCCGCCGTCGAGATCTGCTCTGATCTGCTCTGAGAACAGGACAGAAGTGCCTCTCTCCCCAGTCTCGGAAGTGGCGAAAGTGTTGCCGTCGTCTTCTGGCATGATTTAGAGGATGCTGTGGATGTGGGAGAATGCGCGTGTTGATCGCACTCTGTGGTGGGGGGCTCGATGCGGGATGGAGGCTGGGGAGGCCAGTCGCGTCTGATCAAAACACACTCATCACAGGGCGCGAGGTGGGATTCAGGGTTGATCTTTCTGATTCCGATGCACGCGAGTCTCACGCGACATCCACGAAGGTACCACGCTGATAACACGTGATTCGCTTGCCGGAGTACGGACGGAGCATGGCAGGCACGAGGTGCGCGGGACCTGCGCGGAGACAGCCGAAGCTTTTGATGACAAGCAAGGTTTATCCAGTCACCCATTCCGCCGCTCCCCCGGCCGCCGCACGCCTCATCCTCGCAACTCCCGCCCTCGCAGACCCTCCCTCCGCCCTCTCGCATTTTGTTGTCTTTCTCTCTCTTCCAGTTCAACACTCACCCACTCCCTCCTCTAACATGTCCACCCCCAACTCCCCCAGCCACTGGTCGGGCGTCCTCAACTCGGCGCTTGACGCGGTCGGCAACACGCCCCTCGTCCGCCTCGACCGCATCGCTAAAAACGAGGGGCTCAAGTGCAACCTCCGTAAGTCCCACGACGCGCCTACGATGGCGCATTATATCGCGCCCCACCCTTCGGGGAACGCTTCTATGCAAGCGCTAACGTCCCAGTTGGCAAGGCAGAGTTCTTTTCTGTTGGCGGAAGTGTCAAGGATCGCATCGCAAAGGTGGGCAGAATTTCCGGCCCAGGATTTTCTGAGGCTTGGCATTACACCAAGGGGCGGGTCGCTAATTTCTCAGCGCATGGTCGAGCACGCCGAGAAGACAGGCGTGCTTATCCCGGGTCAGAGCGTCGTGATTGAGCCCACGAGTAAGCACAGCCTCAGCTTCGGGTGGCAAGCACTGACCGTAGGCGGCAACACGGGTATCGGCCTCGCCCTCGCATGCGCGATCAAGGGCTACAAGTGCATCATCACGCTTCCCGCCAAGATGTCGCTCGAGAAGGAGGTGCTCCTCAAGGCTCTCGGTGCTGAGGTCGTCCGCACGCCTACCGAGGCGGCGCACGACGCGCCCGAGTCGCTCATCGGCGTCGCTGAAACCCTCCGCGACAAGATTCCTGGCGGCGTCATCCTCGACCAGTACTCGAACCCCCAGAACCCTCTCGCTCACTACTTCTCCACGTACGGCGAGATTGCTGTGAGTGCTTCCTACGGTGGCACCGGTGGCGAACAGGAGCCAAGTTCGCCCGCAGGGGTGCCACCTTGAAGAGATCGGACGCGAATGCTGACGCCATAGTACGCCCTCGAGACCTCTGACCTGCCTCGCAAGGACATTGCGCTTCTTGTCGCAGGTGCCGGCACGGGTGGCACCATCTCAGGACTTGCGCGCGCTATCCGCGATGCTGAGAAGGAGAAGGCGGATGGGCACAAGGCCTTCATCCTTGCGGCGGACCCCGAGGGCTCCATCCTGGGCGGTGGTGATGTCGGACAGTACCAGGTCGAAGGAATCGGGTACGACTTCTTCCCGGACGTTCTGGACCGCGCGCCCGAGCTGATCGACGCCTGGATTAAGTCCAACGACAAGGAGGCATTCGCAGCCACCAAGCGTCTGATCAAGGAGGAGGGTCTCTGTGTCGGCGGGTCGTCTGGCACGGCGCTGGCGTCCACTCTTAAGTGGCTGCGGTCGGAGGCTGGCCGCAAGATCGCCGAGGACCCCGAGGCCAACGTCGTTGTCATGCTCCCGGACGGCGTGCGCAACTACATGTCGAAGCCGTGGTTCCTCGAGAGCGAGGAGGAGTCGAGCGAGCTGCACAACACGATCCGCAGCATCATCGGCCGCGATCTGAACGACGCGTACAACACCAAGTCCAAGGGCAGCTCTGGTCTCAACACCAACGGCGCTCCTAATGGCATCCACTAATTGCATGAGGCTCGTCCAGAGGGTACTCTCAACGCTGTACCCTCGAGCGGACCTCACCACGACAAGGCATATACCATTTTCGTAGAGCATTGTTGACCACTGGCGACGACGACGACGAGCATCCGGAGGCCACTCTCAACGCTGTGAGCTTCCGAGGTAGTATTGTAGGCATCTTTGGGGTATCTGTATTTGTTGTGACATCTACCTAAATCGGATCAGCGTGCGGAGAGGCGACGCATGATATTTGCAGAAGGTCTGACCAGTGAGCCGGGCGTGATGAGCGTGCGACGACGCCTCTCACAACCATCTTCATCGTATTTTTCGCCATCACCAGCCCTGCTCGCCTCATCTCAAATCCGCGGAAGATTGAGACTAAACCTCAGATCAATCAGATCCCGCCGCGGAAAGGCCACGTGGCTGCTCTCGGCTTCATCCGGTTCGGCCTCGACTCCCACCGACTCGAAGATCAAGCGTCGAGTTAATCAAAAGCCGCAGAATCCTTATCTCGACTCGATTCTCAAAACAGAGACATAAAACCGCACCGCCTGGCTTTTGTCTCCCCTCTTTCCGCCATGTCTCTCACCCGCACGACCCTTCGCCTTCGCGTGCCCGCCCGCGCGGCGCGCGCGTACGCCACCGCTGCCAAGGTGCGTAAAGTTCCACTGAGTGTAGGAGTGTGGGCTGAGAGCGAGGGCTGGACGGTGCTCCTCCTCGTATGCTTTGGCTACATATCGGCCTGCCGGCGCGACGGCTACAGGCTTGTCACGGATCTTGCCCGCTCCCATGGTGCCAGTCCGCTTTCTCACCCGCTGCGTTTGCTGCTGCCGGCGCTAATATCAGCCCAACACCTCGTACACATCGGCTACGCACCCCGACAATGCGACGCCCGAGCCCACCAAGGCCATGATCAAGGAACAGCAGAACTACCTGCTGAACACTTACGCGCGCCCTCCAATCCTCTTCACGCACGGCAAGGGGTGCACGCTTACCGACTCGGCGGGGCGCGAGTACCTCGACTTCAGCGCCGGTATTGCCGTGACGGCATTGGGCCACGCCGACGCCCAGCTGAACAAGGTCATGGCGGAGCAGGCGGGCAAGCTGCAGCACGTCTCAAACATCTACTGGAACGAGCACGCGGGCGAGCTCGCCAAGACGCTGGTAGAGAACACGCGCAAGGCGGGCGGTCTTGGCCTGGACGACACGACGGGCGCCAAGGTCTTCTTCTCCAACTCGGGCACTGAGGCGAACGAGGGCGCCCTCAAGTTTGCGCGCAAGTACGGCAAGGATGTGGGCGGCGAGAAGAAGACGGGCATCGTATGCTTCAACAACGGCTTCCACGGCCGCTCGATGGGCGCGCTCAGCGTCACCACCAACCCCAAGTACCAGACGCCGTTTGCTCCTCTCGTCCCCGACATCCGCGTGGGCAAGTACAACGACGCGGACCCTGCTACGCTTGCGGCCCTCGTGGACGAGAGCGTATGCGGCGTCATCGTCGAGCCGATCCAGGGCGAGGGCGGCATCGGCACAGCCACGCCCGAGTTCCTCAGCGCTCTCGCTAAGCGCTGCCGCGACGTCGGCGCTGTTCTTATCTACGATGAGATTCAGTGCGGCCTCTTCCGCACCGGCGACATGTGGGCGCACAGCGCCCTGCCCAAGGAGGCGCACCCGGACATTGTGACCATGGCGAAGCCGCTCGCTAACGGTTTCCCTATCGGTGCAATCCTTGTGCGTGACCCCGTCGCCGAGGTTATTGGCGTCGGGCACCACGGCACTACGTTTGGTGGTCAGCCACTCGCTTGCGCCCTGGGGGTGCACGTCCTCCAGCGTCTGAGCGCGCCCGCCTTTGCTGAGTCGCTCAAGAAGACTGCCGCCCACCTCGATGCCCGCCTCAAGGCGCTCCCCGGCATGTTCCTCAGCTTGCTCAAGGATGAGAGCCGTGGCCGCGGGCTCATCCGCGGCATCCCATTCAAGAACGAGAAGGCGCCCGCTGAGCTCGTTCGTCTCGCGCGTGAGCGTGGCGTCCTTCTGCTTACCGCTGGCTCTGATGCCGTGCGCTGCATCCCCTCCCTGATCGTCACGCCCGAGCAGTGCGACCACGCCGTCGACGTCATGGAGAGCTGCCTCTCGCTCATGGAGAAGGACTTTTAGATGGTTGTAGAAGCATTGAGATGACATACGATTGCTAGCACACGTGCTCAATGGCACCCTTTCCGCCCGCTCGACGACCGAGGTCGCGCGCGACGCAGCGGTTGAAGCTCTCGATCATCATCGCGAAAAGTGACCGTGAAAGGGCTGCGTCCCACCTCCCCTTGGAGCTTTCGTCGCGGATGAACGCGTGCTGCGCCTGGACCTCGATAAACTGAGGTCAGCTAAGGATATTCGGCGCGGAGATGCGACGTACAGAGAGCGTAACATCTGCATCATCAAAGGTCTGGCGGATCAATGTCCTTCCGGCCCTGTCGACGTGTGTGTCCTAATGTCAGCCAGCATTCAGAACAGTGAGCTCACCTGCTTGCCAAACACGAGGGTCACCTCGCCCTTGCCCGTAAGGTCTCCGTTCTTAACGCGTTTGAGCGTGTCGTCCGATTTGCCCTTGCCAAGGGTGGCCGAGTGGACGCTGGTGTCAGTCGGTGTAACCGCATATCTTAGCTCACTCGGTAGCGAAGTAGCAGAACGACGATAAAACGCGGGGGTCGAAGGCGCACTGGCTGTAAGCTTGTAGACGGCGATGCTTAAATCTCACCCTTAAAGCCAGGTGTCCACCGAGACACATGCCCGTTGCCGCGATGCGACCATTGCAGTTGGGCATGGACGTGAGAAGGTCAACAGCGAGGGTGGCGTCCTGTAGTCAGCTCCAGTAGTGAGCCCAAACCCACCTCGTCGTATGCCGCCACTGTCTTCTCGATCTGCCGTTAGACCGGGTGTGAGAGCAGCACACCTTGTATTTGTTTCCCCGGTCGGTGCCCTCATTGTCGTAGGGGATTGGCTCGGGACCCTCAAACTCGTGGAAGGAAGAGGGCAACGCGACGACGTAACCTTCGCTGGCGATATTGCTCGCAAAGCGTTCAACGGGGCCCGTGACTTGATAGATCTCAGAGAACACGACGCCTAAAGTAAGTTACACACTGTAAAGGATCATCCGAGTCCGCTAAACAGAGTGGATCTCACTCCGTCCGCAGACCACGAGTCTGAGGAGGCAACTCACACCCTGGGAACTTGGCATCGGGATACTCGGGCACATTAGGCTCGATGATGTAGATGCGCATCTTGCCTGAGCGGCCGTCTGCCGTTGTCTCGACGTCCTTGTACGACGTTTTAATGAGCATGGTGCGTTGTAGATGTTGAAGATGCAGTGGATGTCGCCGATGATCTCATGCCGGCGGTTAATGAGGGGTGGCTGACCTCCACCGGGCGGATGGATGCCACACCGGCAATATCGCCACTCTCCGCTCTGACTGCTGGGTGGGTGTGCGCGTTCGTCACCATTCATGAGCGCGGACAATCAACAATCCCCCTCAACCATCTATCCACCATGTCGTTCTTTGGCTTCGACACTGCACTTCCAGACGACCCCCGGGCCAAGGGCCCGGGATTCCACGCACATGCCAACACGGACGCTTTCAACCTAGGCGGAGCCGGTGTCGAGGAAGACCTCGCCGTCTATCAGTGGGGCGAAGGTGACGCTTCCCTCTTGGAGGGTGGCGACGAGCTGAATGACGAGACTTTTGGTGACTTCGACGACATAGGTGCGTACTCCGTTATGTTGCTGTTAACGCAGCCGCCGACTTCAACTTTAGCGCCGCGCCGGCACCCTCGAAGCCCCGTGTTGCCTCCACCAAGAGCCACTTTGGCCCTAAGGCTGTCGCGGACCCCTTCGCGATGACTGAAGACGACTTCTACTCGTCGTCATCGCGCCCCGCGCCGAAGAAGGCACAGAAAGCCAAGAAGAAGGAGCCCGAGCCGGCATGGGCACGCGCATCCCCGGCCAATGCATGGGGCGCCCAGCGGCCACCACAGCACATTCCGAGCATCGACGAGATCGAGGCCGGCATGGCCGCCGCGCGCGTCAGTGACAAGCGCGCCTCGCAGCCGAAGCAGGTGTTTTCACTCGAGGAAATCGAGCGTCAGCTTGTCTCGGCCCCGCAACCTCAAACTGCGGCCGTTCCAGTTCCCGGACACCAGCGCAACGTCAGCCAGCACCAGCAGATGCCGATGGGCACGCCGCCGGCGCACCCCACCCCGCCTCCGCAGGGGAACTATAATCCCCAGGCCGTGCTTGACTCGATGTTCCCTGATATGCGTCAGGCGCAGCAGGGCCATGCGCCGCCTCCCCCGGGGATGGGCCCATCTCCCGTCCCAACGATGCCGAGCGCACTGCGCGACAAGACCCCCGAGCAGCTTGCCGCCATTGAGGCTCGTATTGCCGCAAAGATCGAGAGCATGAGCAAGTTCAACAATCTGATGGGCAATTCGGACAAGGACTTCATCACACGTATCCAGTTGTCGCAGCTCGCCACCAGCGACCCGTACACTTCCGACTTCTACGCGCAAGTGTTCTCAGCACTCAAGCGGCAGCAGGGGCCAGAGGGACCCAAGGGTCCGAACATTGTGCAGGCCGCACCGGGGATGGGCTTTGGTGTGGGCGGGCCCGCCAACCGCTTCGGCAAGATGGGCAACGCGTCCATGCAGCGCCTCGCGACGCAGGTTCGCAAGCTCGTCGCATCGAGCAGCAAGCGACAGGCCAACATGTCCAACGATGCACTGCAAGGTGCGCTGGGCCGTGTACCTGCCCGCCGTGGCGCGCAGGCAACCCCGCGCCCTGTACTTAACGTTGGCAACTCCAAGGCCGACCGCCACCGCCCAATGCAGCAGCTGAACACCAGCTCCGAGACGCGGCCCGCCCTTACTCGCAAGCAGGTCATGTTTGCGCTGGAGGAGTTGTACGACCAGGCGCTCGACATTGAGCAGCTGCGCCGCGACGCACCCCCGCCCACCGACGTGCCGCGCGTCGAGGCGTGGAGCCAGGCCTGTAACGCAAAGGTTGAGGAGATGTGGCGCACCCTCATGGTCATGGAGCCGCTCGGCGTCAGCACACCTCACCCCTTCATCTCCCTGCTTAACCCGCTCAAGGGCCAGCGTCTCTTTCCCCGTCTCCTCCGCCACCTGCCAAGCAACGAGTCGCTCACCCTCCTCACCCTTCTGGTGGCTACGTACCCGCAGCTTGACGTGGTGGCGCGCGCCCCTCCCCCGCCCGTCGCTGACGCATCGCTCCTCACGAAGGCCGACCGGCTCGACCGCGCGCGTCGCGAGGCCGAGACGGACAGCTTCTTGCAATACGTTGTTCCCGGCGTCGACACTCTCATAAATCAGTGCGGTCTCGGCCTGATCTCGGGTCTACTGGGTATCTGCTCGCAGCGCATGGACATTGGCCAGGTGGCAGCGACGCGACCTGGTGTAGCGCTGTTCACTGCGCTCCTCTCTCGCGCTCAGAGCCTCCTCCGCGCGCCGCCTGAGCACTCACCGACGGCCGAGGAGGTGGACCACTGGAACAAGACGTTCGCCTACTTCCTCTTCCACATGGTGCCGCACTTGAACGGCGTGTTCCCGAGCTCGGTGGCGCAGAAGGCCGCCTTCGGGCCCGGCGCGTACCTCCTCGACCCGGCGTCGCAGCTTGAGGGCGTTGAGCTCGAGCGTCGCGAGGCCGAGGCGTGGGGCTTTGCGGCCGCGCTGGCCGTCAACGCGCCGGAGGACCGGCAGACCGAGCTCGTGGGCGCGCTGCGGGACAAGATCCTTCACGCTGTCCAGGCCGCACGTGACCCGCACACCAACCGGGCCCGCGCCGAGCTCAAGCTTCGCAACGTCAACATGTTCCTCCACGGTCTTGGGCTGGACGCGAGCATGATCGAGTAGAGGGGTTGTGTGCACGAACCACACAATGCCCAAGGGGCGTAGCCTGTGCAATATACCCCAACCATCCGCGCAGTGCAAGGAGAAGTCGAGTGGAGTGGAGTTAGATCCAAGTCATAGTCCGTATGTGATGCTTGCTGTCTTCTCGACGATGGCGTCTGTCGATGTTATGAGTACATGGCGCTCCTCTCCCTCTACGTGTCTACATCCATCTGCGACATCGGCCCGCGTATGCCTCAGCCCGTACATCTCGCCGAGTCACACTGTCCCCGCTCAGCGGTGTTGCCGGTCGAGATAGTCGAGCGCACGCATCTTGCAATCTAGCATGGCCCGGCGGTCGGGGTGGACGAGCAGGCTCTCCAAGCTTTCGATGACGGTCTCGTTCTCGACGCACTCGTTCCACTCGTACGGGACCCACTTGTCCTCGTCTTCGCGCGCCTGCATGCTCCACATTTTGTTGCGGAAGTCCTTGATGGATCCCGAGCCGTCATTGTTAAGGTCGTCCTTGGGTCAGCTGGTGCGAGGTGACGGCTGTAGGGGTCGGCGCGGAGAGCGGGGCGCAATCCGCCGTCCAGAGCCCACTTACGAGTCCCTTCGGCAAGTCTTTGCGCTGCGCAACGCGCTTCTTCTCCTCCTCCTCGACGGCGCGCGGGCGGTTCTTGTTGTCGTAGTCGTCAAGGTAGGCGAGCGACGTGCGGAACTGGAGCATGCGGTTGATGGGGTGGAGGTGGAGTGCGCCTGGTATTAGCAAGGGCGTGTGCGAGCGCGCGAGCGACGGGATGGCGACTCTCTCTCTCCCTCTCCTAGCCATGCTTTCCGCGCAGGCCAAACTCGCCAAACTCACCTTCATGCACGATGCCCGAAAAGTACGTCCCCTCCTTCGTGGGCACGATCTCGCTGCGCAGCCGCATCTTGTCACCCCACCCGACCTCCTTCTTCTTCTTCTTGTCCTTCTCCTTCCCTTCCCTCCCGTCCTCCTCCTCCCGCCCATTAGCGGCGGCGGGCACGAAGCCGAGCTCGCGCGCGCGCTCGTCGCGCCACACGCTGGGGTTCGCGTCGACGGGCACCTCGACCTCGACGCGCCCCACGCCCTCCTTGACGCGCGAGGTGATGCGCTTGCCCCGGTCCGCGGCCCAGTTGGGCACACGCAGCGAGCGGTGTTGCAGCGGATACTGGAAGATGGCGAGGTTCGGGCCGAGCGAGGGCGAGATGTAGACGGGCAGGCGGGCGACGACTTCGTCGTCGTCGTCGTCGCCGTCGTGGAGGGGTGGGAGAGGCGGCGAGGAGGGTGGAGCAGGGGGAACGTCCGGGCCGGGCTCGGAGGCGGGGAGGAAGGTCGAGGAGGGGCCGGGGGCGTCGTGCGCGTCTCCCGTCAGTTCGGCGGGCACGATGTCGTCCCCCTTCTCGCTGCCGAAGGGTGACTCGAGAATCGAGTCCGCGACCATCTCGATATCGGGGCCGCTCATGGTGCGGAGCGAGTGGGGGGAAACGGGATGGAAGAGGCGAGATGAGGTGAGGATGAAAGTGCAGTCGTGCGTCGGACGATGAAGTGAAGTGAAGTGGTTGTTGCGAACCGCAAGTCACCATCGAATTTCTGAACATGACGCAGGAGCGGAACAAAATCAGCCCTGCCCCACTCTGTCTGACACCTTAACCCCAAACGGCAAACCCTATCTCACTTCACCAGACAACTGCAACGTCCACCAGACATAATCCATCTCGCGGGGGTGCGCACCGCACACAGAGTATGACTATCGACATGATACAAAATCCTAAGTGTACAATATAAGCCTGCTGCCTAGTCCCACCGCCTATGTGGGCTGGGCAGATCGTTGTAGTGTTTTGGGGCATACCGGTCTTCGCCGAGCGCGTACCCGTCTGCGGCGGCGCCCGAACCGTCTGCCGGATCGTTGAAGCGCGCGCCGGGAGGCGCTCGCGGCATCGTGCTGCCGGTGCGGCCCGACTTTACGCTGGGACTCGAGTACATGCTGAAGCCGAACCACTCGTACCACTCGCGCGTGCCCACGGGCGCCTCCTTCGCCTGCGCCGCGTCGGCGTTGTCCCGCTGCAGCTGGGTGAGCGGGGACGATCTACCGCCCAATGCGAAGGCCATCGGATCCGGCGAGGGCGGCTTGAGCGAGTTCCCCACTTCCGTCATTGGGTGCGCCGCCTCGTTCTTCTTCTTCGCCCACAGGTTGTTGGCGAGAGGCAGGAGCGAGCGCCGCGTGCGTGCTGGGGCCGGCTGGCGGATGTGGCTGCCACTTGACCCAAACGATGATGTCGATTTGAACGTATCGCTACGTGAGACACGGTTCCAGACGCCCGCATGCGCCATCTGTTTGTGCGGCTCGTCGACCAACGATACGAAGCCCCAACCTTTGTCCCGCCCGAACTTGTACCAGGGCTTTGTTTCTTGCCACTGGTGCTTCGGCGTTTTGTTACGGCGCCTGCACCGTCTCCATATGAGAAAGGCGGCGAGGGTGAGGAGTAGCAGGCCAAGGACGCTGCCTACGGATGCACCGACAACGACGGCGGTGTTATCGCCTCGGTGGGCGGAAGCGCTCGCAGCGCTTGTCACGGCTGTTGTTGTTGGCGTGCCCGCGGGAGGAGACTTTGTACCAAGCGTAGGCTCGGCGACCTCGCCCATGGTGGCATCGTTGATGCCGCTCGTTGAGACGAGATAGTCAAACGACAGTCGTCCGCGCTGGTTGAGGAGCTGGACGGTGTGTGGTCCGTCCGTCAGACTCGATGCGTGCCATAGGGTTTGATTGTACGTCCGTGGCCCGCCTGCAGCATCGAACACGCCCTGCGTGACGTTGTCAAGCCGCACCTCGAATGTGCCCGCTTCCCCTCCACTCAAGCCAAACACCCACACAGCACTTCCGCTGAAACTTATCGCGATGTTGGCGTCGGGTTGTGTTGTCCAAGAGATGGAGCGGTTAAAGTGGCGGTCCGCATTCCTCAACTCTTGCTGGTACTGGGTCTCGTTGACGTAGTTGCTCTTACCCTGCTCGAGCATGTTCCAGCCTGGGCTAAGGGCAACAGACCCGTTGGCCCAAGCAGTGTCGTCAATGGTCGTGTTGACAGTGTTGGCCTGAATGAGGCCGCCGATGGTCCCACGCATGCCGTCTATCCGTGCCCAGGTATCGTTACCCGCGCCTTGTTTGCGCGAGAGCTGGAGCTGGAAGTTGTGCGTGGCGAGAGGCAGCCCGATCACGCCGGCCGACAGTGGAGTGGCAGACGCCGGTGGTGCCGAGCCGTTGACGAGGAGAGTGGTCGTCCAGTCTGGCGTGGAACCAGCGACGCCCGCGCCGGCACCTGGACCGGACGCGCCCTCGATGGGTGCAAAGGCAACATCAAACACGACACCGAGACCTGTGAGCGTGACGATTTGGGCGCGCGATGTGATGGTCGGCGTTTCATTCGTGGGGGGGTTGAAGAAAAGGAATGTTGTGCACGATGGATGTGGCGTCGGCAGTAACAGGGATGGAGTGGTTTTGTCGCATGTTGCAGGCACAGGGGGCGAGGTTCGGACGCGAACAAGACAAAGTCAGCCCCGAAGAAAAGCAAAGAAAGCAAAGCGCGTCGGCTCAGGCGCTGAGGCGTCTCGGCTGGCTAATGCGTGCGAGCGAGGCAATGCTGCTGGCCGGCGCTCAGACTCACCAGTAAAGTTGAGGCCGACAGTGGCGTTCTGCGCGGTAGTCACGAACCCTGGGTCTGTGCCATTTGAGCGCGTCGAGTCACCGCCTGTCGCGATGGTCGAGTTGTCGCCTTCAAAGTCTGACTGGCTCATCCATCCCTGGTCGTCGGGGCATGCGCGGCATGGGCCGTACCGCAAGAGCGGCGAGCTGAGGAGATAAAGGAGAGGCAGGCGAGAACAACGTTGGTCGTGTGAGGTCCGAGTAAGGGTATGCCAAGCGAACACGGACGTGTCAGCATGCTTCTCGCATGTCTTGCGCCGCAACTCACCCGGCTTGCAAGTAGACCTGCATGGTGTGATTGTGGGGATGGGGTGAAAAGAAGTGGTGGTGGATGGATATCTCGCGTGGGAGGCGCAGCGTGGAGCTGACAGTTTTAGACGCGTGCGCGCGGCGCGGCGCGCTGTACAAGGGATGGATGTCACCAGTGGCGAGGGGAGAGGGCAGCCAGCAGGCCAGTGGGGATGGCGAGGGGATGTGGAAGATGACAAGGATGCGTCGCTGGAGGTTGGAGTGGGCGAGTCTCCGGGTCCGGGGTCCGTAGATAAGGAGGGAGGCTGATGGAACTCGGGCGGAGGTCGGTGACTGCCTCGGAGATGGAAGGGTTGCGTGTAGATGGACACGAAGATGACAGGAAGAGCGTGGTAGAGGAACAATGAATGGGAGTGGGGGGGGGGGGGGGGGGGGGGGGGAAGGCAGGCGGGGGGGGGGGGGGGGGGGGGGGGGGGGGGAGAGAGAGACAGCCAGCTGTCGAGCGAGAAGAGTAGAGGAGGAGGAGATGGAGAGAAGTGATGATGTGAATGTGAGAAGGGCAGATGGATGGGTGGCCGACAAAGGAGGGTCCAGTCAAGATTTGTCCCAGTAAAGTCGTGCTCGCTGTTCTGTCGCTGTTCTTGCTGTTCTTGGGATGTGAATGAGCGTAGAGTACACTCTGGGGTCATGTGCATGTGCATAGCGCGGGACTTGGGACGGAGGGCGTTGCCGTCGCCGTTAGCGTTGGAGGCGGAGGAGGTTGACTGGGCCAAGGCACGATTCCGTGTTGCTTTGCTGGGCCGTCGGCATGCAACCAGAGGGGTATTCTCGTCATTTACGTAGTGGGGGCGCTAGTTGCTCCCTCTCCATTCCCATTCTCGCCGCTCTCTCCGCGCACTCCGCTCCGCTCTGCTCGATCTCCTCTCCTCCTCTCTACTGTAGATCTCTAGTTCTAGTCTAGTGCAGCGTTGTAAAATGCAATCTATTCACCTAATTGCCTCTGGGGATGAAAGCTTACCCTGTCCAGTCGCAATGTAACACTCACCCCTGACGCCCCTACTCCTACGCCACTTCCCCTGCGCCCTCCCCCTCTCTCCTCTCCCCCCCGGCCAAGACATGAAACGCACACCGCAACCGCCCCTTGACAACCCTCCGCCTCCAAGCCCTCCACCCATTCCCCACATGGCCACATGGCACATGGCACATGACCATCCCATCCCATCCTCATCTCCCATCTCCCACCCATCCTTGGAGCCTTCTTGCAACTGCTATTCTCCGCACGAGGCGTCGTCAGTGATAGCCTTACATTGCACGGGAGTGTCTCACTACTCCAGTACTGCGTCGTCGGAATGGAACTGCATGTTGGGCGGGTGCAGCATAGTCGGAGAGGTTGCTCCCTCTCCAGCATATTCAGAGTGCACAGAAATGGACATTCACACAGCTACAGAGACATATGGTGCAAGGCTATGCCCATGACTTCTGCCGCTCAATCCACCCGTCAGGCCGTCAGCCGCTGCAAGCGACCAAGCTTGATAAAAGACAAGAGGCAATGGCTGGAAAAAGCAGCGGGCCAGGGCAGGCAAGTGTTCCCGTCGTACCGTTCTACCGTTGTCTCCTGCTTCCGAGGTGGCGAGATGAATGCGAGCGGGACCGTTGACTGGTGGGCTTCCAAGGGCAACGGCAACAACAACAACAACAACAACTACAGCAATCAACGTGGGGCTGCCGCACCTCCTCTGCACTTCACTCCTGGCTTACATGAGGTCAAGAGCACAGGTATCGACTCTTTAATTCCTCCGTTGTTGGGTCCTCCAACCCGCCGCTCATGTGCCTAGCAAGCCAACTCCATCGACGTCGCAAGTCCATCCGAGGCGGAGCATCTCTGTGCGTCTAAAGCTACGACTTCAACGGAGCCGTCGTGCCTGTACACTCTCAGTCCATTAGCTTGCCAACTCGTCAGCTTGTCAGCTCGTCAGCTTGTCAGCTTGTCAGCTCACCCACCGTGTGCCAAAGGAGCAGCTGCATCCCAATAAGTTTACATAGGGTCCCGGCCAGCGTATCAGCTTATACGTACGGCGGTGTGACTGGCTGCCTCAGAGGCCAGCCCAAGACGAAACTACACAATCAATGATCAGGTGACTGGTTCTCTTTCATGTGCTCGCCCGACGCCTCATTAGCACTGTCGGCCGACGCTTCGCCCGACGCGCCAGATGCGCCCGAGGCCGTCGTACGCTCCGAACGCTCAGACCGCTCAGAGTGCTGCGAGTCGAGAGACACACGCTCAGATGCACCTCCGCCGTGTGAAGGCACATAGTCGGGGTCGACCGAAGGAGGGTCCAAGTGCAGCAGGAGGTTGAGCACAAACTGGCACTCGTAGCCCGAGTTGGCAAATGCAGCGGAGAGCGACTCGTCCGGTGTGCGCAGAATGTTGGGGGCGAGCACTAGCGCCAGGTTGCGCGGCGTCATTTTGGTGATGGCGACGACGTCTGGATCGAGGAAGAGCTGAATGAACGAGATCACAAACAACAGCACTCTGCGGTTGTGGTTCGGCAACTTTTTGAGGAAGATGATCGTGTGGTCGACACTCTTGGATACCGAGAGGGCGGTTTCGTACATCGCGGTCGGAACCAGCGGGTCTTCGAGCTCGCGGAGCCACAGCTTGAACAGCGACGCGACGACATGCGGGTCCGTGATTCCGCTCAATTGGTACTGGCCTCGATCGATGCGCGCTTTCAATTGCAGTATAACGTCGTTGTCGCCCGGCACTCGGAAGATGCCTTCAGACTCGGTGCCGCCAAGTGCAAGAATTCCGTCTGCGAGGAAGGGCAAGATGATTGGGATACGCAACTCGGGATACGCGCCCTCCTGTCGCTGCATGATCGTCTCGAGCGTTTGCGCGTACACCGACGGGTAGAACGCGGCGTCCGACGCGTGCTCGATCTCAGCGGTGCTCAGAACGCGCCCACGGCCGCCCTTCTGCGACCAGGTGTCCAAGCGGGTAAGACAAACTGTGGTCAGCTGATTCAAGGTCAGGTTCAGCTTACACTTGGACATGACACCAATGCCAAAGTCGGTACGTTCCAGCTTGCCTATCAAGAAGGAGCGGACAAATGGTTCAAACGACTTGGACGGTCCAAACGCGGACACGAACACACAGAAAAGCTGGAAACCCAGAACGGTGCTGTCGCTGTCCGGGTTACGCGTGAGCTGCTTCATGAGCTGGCAATACAGCTCGTCGCGCATCTCGACTCTACCGACTCCCAACTGGATCATCCAGCGAATCTCCTCGAGGATGATCGTCTTCTCGTCCTTGGACTCGTTGCCCTCGCCAGGGCGCACTGTCGAGCGAAGAGACAGCACCGACGCAGCTGGGAAGTGTTGGGGTCTAGCGTCCGTAACGTGTCGGTCGCGATCACCCATGACGTGCTGGATGACCTTGAACGTGGTAACCGCATCCTGTACGGACGTCCTGGAGAGCACCAAAAGTGGAGATGTGATGGGCGCGCGCTGCCATTCCATAATCTGCTCCAGTGACATGCGCTGGCGCAGCACGCCCGAGCGGCGGCTCGCAAAGTAGCGGTCGGCAAAGTTATCGGTGGAGAAGTTTTCGAGATTATATGCGGCGGATGTGGGGGATGCGGGCTGGAGAATGAGGTTGACAGGGTCATTGAAGTTGCCATCGTCGACTGACGGGGAGCCCTGGGGTGATGCCACGAATCCATTCGTGTTTGAAGTCGCGGGAGAGTGGTCTGCATGGAGAATGGAGGGACCGCCGTTCTTAAGAGATGGGCTGCGATCTGGCGTCTTGAGGTTGGTCTTGCTCAAGCGGCTGAGTAGCCGTCTTCCGCGGCGCCTTCCCCACCAGCTGCCCTGCTGATCGTGTGCCGGGTCGAGGTGCCGATCGGGCATGGGCGCGTCGTCTGGAATGGGCGTCAAAGGGCCGCTGGAGCTCGCCGTCGAGGTCGCGATGGGGAGAGTCAGCTGCTCGCGGTGTCCAGACGACGAGGTGGCGGGTTGGATGGAACTTGATGTAGAGTCAACTGTGCCATTTTCGGTCGAATCGCGATGAGGGGACGGGGGTCGCGACGAGAGTGCGTTGCGCTGAGCTTGTTAGGGCTTTGGTTCCGATCAAGGTTACCCACCTGTATCAACCCCAGCGGGATAACAAAGGCGTCACCATCTGGCCTGTTCCACTGCGTCACGCCGGTCAGAGTGTCTATCAAGTCAGCATGGGCGGAGAGTGCCGGAGCGTGTGTCCGACAATAGTCAACCTACTATAATAGTAGCTCTGGTTGCCACGGGATGGGTCTGCCAACTCCCACCACTCCCCATCGGGCGAACGAGGCACGCTGGAGGGTCAGGACGCGTTCTGCAGTGCACAAAATCGGTGCAGCTTGACTTACACAAAGGCTCCGACGGGCGGTTCCCAACTGCACTGACCTGGGTTGGTGAGCGACAGGATTCTCCAATCTCGAATCGTCACAGGGGACGATGCACATACCTGACGCCGGACACGCGAAGAAGACATCGTGAGTCTGGTCCCGTTAGCGACGCCATTGATGGATTGTTTGGGTTCGCTTGTACACGTACCAGAGGGTCGGCAATGGTCACCCAGAATTGCATACTCCACGCCATGGAGGGGTCGTCACACTTGCTGAGCTCCTCGCGGACGTCGATAGGATCGGTCGAGCTTCCGCTCGAGCTTTGACGCTTGGACCCCTCTGCCAGCTCGCCGTGGCCCTTCATCAGTGGTAGGGCCGTAGACGGCTCGGCTAGGGTCACGCCGCCCGCGTCCTGCACCGTGGCCATGAGGGTGGCGATGAGGGGGCGTGGGGTGGTGGGGGGCTGTGGTGGCTTGCGGTGTCCCTTGAGGATGCGCCCGGCGGCGGCCTTGTGGACAGAGCCCTTGAGCGGGCGGACGGCTTCGTGGTCTACGTCTTCTTCGACTGGCGAGTTGAAGAAAGGACGCGATGCGACGCTGCTTCGATGGCGGAATGCTGTTGGAGGAGGGGGAGGAGGAGGGAGAGAAGATGAAGAAGTGCGGGAGTCGGCGGGATCAAGAGGAGGAGATCGAGGAGAGAGTGGAGATGGAGCAACGAGGTGTGGGTGATCGATTGCCAAAGTGATTGACACTGGCTGAGACGGAGGATTCTTGCCGCTGCCGTTGCCGGCACCTAGGGCCAGAGATGGTCGAATGGAGATTCGCTGGCGCAGCGATCCCGCTCGAGGCAGGAGGGTGGAGCGGCGGGAGTGGGTGGCGAAGGGGAGGGAGGGGGAGTTGGGAGTTGAAGGAGGAGTTGGGAGATGCGATGTGGGAGGCTTGTGTAGTTTCGAGGACGAGGACATGGACATGGGCCCACAGGCAAAGCACGATGGGGGGCCGATGGACGGAGCAGGGGACGAAGGAGCTACAGGTGGAGACGAGGTATCGCGTGGTCGACCTTTAGTCAAAGCACTCGTGACGGACACCATGAGTTCTCGTCTCGATTTCTGCTAGAGGCGACGATCCCACGACCAGACTACTACTAGCTCGCTGCCTGTTGCTTGCGCAAGAGCGCGCAGCGTGGGCAGCTGATAGCTGGTAGAAATGGTCTGGGGGGGTTCAGCTGGCGTCGCTGGCGTCGCTGGCTTTGAGCTTCCAGGGCGCCCTGGCGGAATGCCGAGAACAATGGGCTATATTTCCGGCTTGCTGGAATCGGTAGAGGGGGGAGATGGGGAGGAAAGTGGAAGAGGACAGTCGATGAGAGAGAGATGAGTAGATGAGTAGAACGAAGAGGAGGAGGAGGAGGAGGAGGAGGAGGAGGAGCGAGACGATTGATGGATGCGCTGTGCAGTGAGATGGGAGGGACTAGGGAAGGTGGACAGGGGACGAGGGAGGAGAGGCGCTATAGACGGGGAGAAGATTGAAAGGAGACTGCTTTTGGCATCTCTTTCTCTCTCTCTCTCTTTCTCTCTCGCTCTCTCGCTCTCTCTCGTCCTCGCATCCTCCTCTTCATCTCTGCACATGTGCATGGCCTCCCTCTCTCTCTGAGGCGGGGAGCACAAGCACTACTGCGTGCCCCGTTCAATCCTCTGCTCCAATACCGCCGACATGAAGGGCACCGACTGAATAGGCCGAAATGCAAAGCCGCTATCCGCCGCCTGAGCCGCTGCTCTTTCTCTCTCTCTCTCTCTCTCTTCCCGCATGCTGCTTGCAGCCGGCGGCGCCTGATGGTCTATTCATGGTCAGGTGGCTAGGTCCTCTGCCATCATGCTTTCAGACGGCCGTAATGCCGTTCCAACCCACTCGGACTTACGCAATATCCCCTCCTCCTCCTTAAACAGTTGTTGTTTACAACGTCTGAGCTTGAAACTGGATCCTTGTCCGTCTGCGTCGGCGCCGGGATTGGGAACGGTTTCATCCACGTCCTCGAGATCTCTCGCAGCATGCCCACAGTTCCTGGATGATCAAGTGGGGAATACGACGCGTCGCAAAGATAAACAAAGACGTTACGTGGACCTGGGCGAGGAGAGAAACAACGCGTCGCGTGCCGTGCTCATTGCTCATGAGAGAGAGAGAGAGCACAAGTTGTGGGAGAGTCGAGTAAAGTTAGGCGTTGCGAGGCGTCGCACTTCACATTTCTGGATCACAACAAGCTCCAGCCCTGCGCCTTGTCAGGTACACTTCCCCGGACATCAGGCTCACCGCACGCGCATGGCACGCCCTGGACGCGTCCTGCTCGCACCTCTACGATAATTATCTCTTCTCTCTTTCTCTCCTTTCTCTCCATCGCTCACTCTTCCATCTCCCCTCTCCACTGTGCCGTCTCGCAGGCGTAAACCGCAGCCCTTCACCGGCTTGTGCATCTCCGCCAGCCCCGAAGATGCACTACTATGGATAGCATGGGACTGGCCCCGCCTCGGCGCAAGTCGAACAAGGCTTCTAACCCTAAGGTGCGTTTTCTCATCCGCTCGCTTTCTCCTCTCCGCGCGTGACGAGTCACGCAACCCCATGCCCCCATCCATTGATACCGAACTCGTCGCCTTGCACGATCCTCGCCCCTCGCTCTCGCCGCGCCCTCCGCTCACACCAGTTCTTGAACCCCCATCCCGGTGTAAGGTCCTGAGCGTAATCCGCACCGCTGGCCACCTTGAGGTGGGCCAGGAAGCCTCCACGGCAAGGACAGCGCTGCCTGTGTCTCGTGTTATCCTGCAGAGGGGCGGTCGCTTAGTCGGCGGGTTGTGGCCGTCGCGGACGGTACACGTGTCGGGTACGGAGAGTGAGCTGCACCCTCCGCGTGTAGCGTATCGCGCGCCAACCGCGTGCGCCTGCGTCCGTGAAGAGGCCTTGCCTAGAGCTACGTGCTCGCGACTTTGCGGTAGGGCGTGCGTGCGAGCGCTGCGCGTGACTATGCGTGGTGTGTGCGGGGGAGGGCTGCAAAACCCAGAGATCCCAAGTGGGTGGCCGTCGAGGCCACCACGGATGGGAGTGCTCATGGAAGCGACAGAACTATTGGAACGCCGGCCCTGCTGAGAAGTGCGAGCAGGTACGTAGGTCCAGCTACTACCTCAACATGAGACATGGCGCTGCTGTCACGCAGGCGTCGGCGATGGCGACGAGGTGAGTACCCGTTCCCTCTCCCATCTAAATGATGATATATATAACTCAGCTCATTCCGAACGCCAAGCGCGTTATGAGGCTACTCTTTTCTATATTCTGAACCTCCCATCTTCCACTATACAAGACGAAGCTGACTTTATAGGCGACCAAACTGAAGGCAAGTAATCTGGACCTCGTCCAAGGGCACTAGCTCTAGATTTCCATGGCAGTGCCATACACTGCAAGCCGCTCAGGCGGCTGCTAACCCTCTGTACTCCCTGTTATGCATACCAATACAATCACTCGAGGCCCATATTACCCAGCCGCGCGTGCCCGATACGCCACACGTCCACGAGCGCCCTGTCGCACTCGCTCTTCCATTCGTCGCTGTACTTTTCCCGCGTGAGCCGCTGGACGGTGCTGGAGCCGAGGGCGGGCTCGCGCGTGTCATACGTGTCGGGCAGCGGCTGCGGCGACTGGGCAATCCCGATATTCGCCTCCATCTCATTCACGATGGCGGCGCGCGGCCGGCCCGCGACGAACGTGATGAAGCGCAGGCCGGGCCACACGGCCTCGTACACGGCGTTGAGGTGGGCGAGGCTGGTGTGAGCGAGGGCGTGAGCGAGCTGGACTCACCGGTCAAGCACGACGGCCGGCGTGCCCGATCCCTGCTCTTTACTCGAATGCGCCGAAAGGCCCTTGACCTCCCCAATCACCGGGTGGCCTTGTATGAACTGCGCCTTTGTGTCCCAGTCCCAGTCGGCGCCGATGGCCGCGCAGAGATCCACGAGGGCGGCGTACGATGCCGGCGGGGCCGTGGACGCGCGGAACAGCACCGCGGGCACGAGCACGCGGCGCAGCGGCGGCGTGGGCTCGAACAGCGTGCCCAGCAGCGCCGTCAGGCGCTCGCTGTCCGTCAGCGTGGCGAAGTCGAGCGTGGCGGGCCAGGACATGGCGAAGTGTGCAGAGCCAGAGTCGGCAGGCGGAATATGTAGTCGTGCCCACCTCCGGCGTGATCGGACGCTGGGCAGGCCGGTGCAGGCGGAGCAGGATGTGGAGGTGGAGGTGGAGGTGGAGGTGGAGGTGGAGGACGGAGTGGGGCGTTCGCAAGCCGGAATTGCCACCCAAACCAAGTCACGTGTCGCAGGTCTCCGTCGTCATCTGTCTCGCCTCTCCGACTTGACGAAGACAAACTGACCGCCACTACACATGTCATACGCCGGCTCGGATCCATACGGCGTCCGCCTCATGTCCGGCACGTTGATTACGTGCGACAGCGCGGCCAAGCAGATCATCTTGCATCTCGACGAGGGGCGGCCGGGGACGCACAAGTTTGTGATGCGCGATGGTGAGTGGGCGGGGGAGAGGGG